TCAAATCATTTTTTTACCTCCCCAAAAGATATGGTAATCGATGACAATCGATGACAATCGATGACAATCGATGACAATTGATGACAATCGATGACAATTGATGACAATCGATGACAATCGATGGCAATTAAAAAACACAAATTTTTTGGCCATCGATTGGTCAACGATTTCCGATATTAATCGATTAATTGTTATCGATTGATATCGATTGCCATCGATTGTTATCGATTATCGGTTTCATCGATTCATCACGCCGGGGGATAATACACAATTTAAGATAACGTCACACTACCGGAAGGGAAAGTATTTCGCTTGGTGGTAAATTCTTTTCTGTCGCGATATTCATCAGGCTTGAAAGTGAAGAATGATCATCGCAGTAAATTTTTCAATTTAAGCAATTGGAAAAAAGAGGCCTGAAAACTGATCAGGGCTTTAACGGGATTCGAACCCGTGACCTTCGCGATACCGGTGCGATGCTCTACCAACTGAGCTATGAGGCCACACATATCTTCCCGTGAGAAGTATTATGTGGCTTAATAGATCAGTTGGTAGAGCATCGCACCGGTATCGCGGGTTCGAATCCCGTTGAAGCCCTGACTTTTTTCAGGCTTCTTCTTTCTAATTGCTTAAATTGGACAATTTACTGCGATGATCATTCTTCACTTTCATCTACAACCGCAGTTCAAAAATGAATTATTTCATATATACTTCACATCATTCATCAGGCTTGTTATTTCATCGTCGAGCTTAGAGCTGATTGGTCAGAAAACAGAGCTCTCTTTGTTGAATGTCTTCGCTGACCCCCTTCAGCTTCATTTTCACAAGTACCTTCTTTTTTTTTTTTTGGCGCTTCGCCTTTGGAGTCACTACATTTGGGGATCGCTGGCCTCGAGCAGGAATTGAACCTCTAGGACTAGCTCTCGAAGGAGTTCGTGGAGCGATTTCCTTCGCCTGGTCGAGTGCTCTACCACACGCCAATGCCTCTCGTAACTCCGTGAACATTCTGAAGCAATTCAGTATTTTCCTAAGGCATTTTTTGCGAACAGACCTTTTGCCGTCTTCACTATCTTGAATGACAACAATTCTCAACTCGAGAAATAATTCCACAAGAATGACAGGTTTTTCACACAAAACATTAGAAAACTCTTTGTTCGAAGTTTCAGAAAAAAAAGCGTTACTGTGGCGACACACTTTCCATACACTGAGTGAAAATTTTCGAGGCAAATTGTGCAGATATTCTCGGAAACCATTTCAAACATGGACGAAACTGGATTATTTGCTCAAATTCTCGCCGTTGTGATCTGAGATGCATGCAGTTAAACATGACAGCCGGAAGTGATTCTGATTGATTAANTATTCTCGGAAACCATTTCAAACATGGACGAAACTGGATTATTTGCTCAAATTCTCGCCGTTGTGATCTGAGATGCATGCAGTTAAACATGACAGCCGGAAGTGATTCTGATTGATTAATACGTACACTGACGCTTGTAACGCTATGAGGAGGTGGAAGACTACAATAAAGACACTTGTGTCAGACTTTTCTTTGCCGTGTATTTCCTCCTTTTACCCCGCAAGTAAGAAAAGCCTAATACTCAGGCTACGATCAATGTTATAAGATGCTTAAAAAAATAATAGAAACATAATTTCATTTTTTTTTTTAATAAATGGGTACATTTTTATTAATTGCTAAATGAATTATTTGTCCAGATTTACTTATAAGTCTAAGACACGGACTTAACGAAACAAACGCTTTAATATATCCCATAAGTACACAAAAAGGGCCAACCAGAATAAACTAATCTCTACCTCTAAGGCGCGGACAGTCAGTTCTGTATATTAAGTATCCTTCATACGTTGCACAGTGATTCCTAAATTATAAAGATTTCGAATTTTTAGTTTTGTATCACTATCTCCAACGTCGCCACCATGATTTCCAAGCTTTTTTGTACCGTCCCATGTAGAATAAGATATATACCCTTGAAATGCAAACCTGGAAATCTTGTGAAAGACGATTCAAGCATTTTTTTTTTTTTACTTTACGTCAGAACATTGGATACCTTTATTGGCTCGTCAAGCAGGCGACTAGTTTCCGT